CGTAGTCACTCCTCTCCATGTTTTGTGTTTGGAGGTGTTCCAGATGGAGCTTTGTGGCATATTCACAGCTACTTCAATTTCTAATTTCTTTGATTAGATCCAACCTCATTAGGCTGTTAGAAACATTTGGTTTTCTCTTTCCAATCATGTATATATATAAATATATTAATGTATCAGGACACATAGAGGCAACCTCAGAGACCTCCCCTCTCCGCCCATACATTGATACATTTCTTGCTGCCAAATTCCTTCCCTGATGCCACAGACCCAGGAAAAAACTATTTTAATCTCCTCCTACAAGGGATTGGACTCAGGTAACAGCTCTTGCTTGGCATAGAAGTGAAAACAGTATAATAAAATACTTTACTAACATGCTTATATCACAGTTCTATTGAGCCCAATACTTAGTGCACAGCATCTTAAAGAAATAAGAAAAAAATATATCTGCTGTTTCTACCCTTTATTATCCAGTATCTGCCTGAGCATGTGTAAAAACTGACTTCATAATTGAAGGCTTATACTTAAACTGTGGTTTTTCATCAGAAATTAAGAAGCTTCAAATCTTAAGAACACTTTCTTCAGGGTAAAAGGATGCCTGATTCACACCTATTAAAAGTCCTCTTATGTACAAATACTCCTGGGGAAAGTAACATCATGCCGTGAAAGCATTCTAAGTATAATGACAGAGCAGAATTTTTCCTGACAAGCTTTGATTATGGCACGGGAGAAAGAACTGGAGAGCAGGAGTGACTCAAACGGAAGGAAAGAGGAGCAGCTAAGGTGAGACAACAGAAGGAAGTCAGAGAGAGAGATGTAGGTAGTGTAGGGACCAAATCTCGCATACCTTATGATTTTGGCTACTCTACTATCCCTGATGTTTCACTTTGAATGTGCCAATACGATATCTTCATGGACAATCAAAATTGAAATTATTACAGGTTGAGCATCCCTTACTCAAAATGCCTGAACCAAACATGTTTCAGATTCTGTATTTTTTCAGATTTTATAATATTTGCATATATGTAATGACATATCTTGGGGCTAAGGCTCAAGTCTGAACATAAAATTCATTTATGTTTTATATGCAAATTATACACATAGCCTGAATGTAATTGTATAAAATATGTTTAATAATTTGGGGCATGATACAAGATTTGTGTTGAGCACTTACATGTGGAATTTTCCACTTGTGGCATCATGCCAGTGCTCAAGAGGTTCTGGATTTGGAACCATTTTGGATTTTGGATTTTTGAATTAGGGATGCTCAACCTGTGCTGGTATCTTTCAAGTAGCCAGGAGAAAAAAAGCTAGAATCATTGTAGGATAGATCCATTTCCACCTGTTTTCTTATGAAAGGATATGCTTTTATTGAAGCTTGTTAAAGTCAATCTTACGGAAATTATTCACAGTGGCCAAACCGTGTATTTCTCCCCAATACAAGATCACACAGCTGAATTTGAAGTGGGAGATGATTTCTTGTTCTACTTTTTTCCAACAGCCTATCTTAATCAATAATCCTGAATATATATCCTGCATCTAAAAGGTAATTTAGAGACTTCCATGGAAGCAACTCTAAATGTGAGGAAAAGAAGAGAAGAGAGGTTAAAATGCACTTACAAGCTGCAATTTGTTGAAAAGATGGTAAATCAGTGTGTTTCTATCTATAATTCACAGAAATCAGGGTGTATATTTTCAGGACAAGTGTCCTATGAATTAAACTCCCTATGTGTGGTCATGTTATCACAGTTTTATTAGAGACAAATGACTTTAAATTTTAGTGCTTTCAGGCATTTGGCTGAAATAACTCACTTATGAGTAGGCTTATGGAAATGTGCATAATTCTCTCCAACCGAGAACAATCTTCCCACTCTCTCGGGTGTCAGAAGATGGCTCTAGAAATAAAGGTTCATTTATTTCCATGCACCTGTCATTTGGTTCCTAAGTGATGTGAATTGTTATTGAGTATCTAGTTCAAAATCAGGACTTGTCTTTTCCAGATTACATAGTTCCCATTTTACTTAGAGGTGAATAAAGAAGGTATTTTCTGATATTTATGACATCGCCTTCCACATAATGCTTGAAAAGTAGTTATTCAGCCAGTTGGGTGGGAAAGAAAAAAAGAAACCTTCTTATTGTTTTAAATTAAAACAAAGGACATATATAAAATACTTTGCAAGGCAATCCCTAGAGTAGACATTTCTTTTCTGTGTTCTTGTATCACTCATATTAACTCTTTTAGTTTCAGATAAGTGAATCAAAATCCATAGCATTTCACCTGTATTTTGGTGTGTGAGCAACATAGACAAGTACATTTATTACCTGCCTCTTAAACACATACAAACACCTGTTGACTTTTTCATTGTTAATTGTTCAATACTAACAAAACACTTGCTCAAAACTACCTGACATTGACCATCAATTCTAGGTCCACATGAAAATTTAAACGAGGTAAGAATCTAACTTATTCATGATTGATAGGTAGATTTCGGTCCCCCAAATTTTCCTTGGATGACTCAGAAGAAAAATAGGCAAACAGGGAAACAAGAAGTCTCTCCCCATGATTATGAACCACCATGCAATGCACTAATTTCTTGCTGTTTATTTTTTACTGAGTTCTCGATCCACGCGAAGTGACTCTGCATTATTCCGGGGTTATTAAAAAAGACTGATTGCTTCGAGTTAATTCCTTTATATATATAGTGACAAACTCCTTAGATGTAAGGATCTACTCATATCCCCCTATATTTATCCCCCTAAGCCCAGGACGAACTTGAGTTCCTTTGTGAAAAGCATCTTTGCATGCAGCCAACTCATTGCTTTAGAGCATCTCCCATGGTTTTGGCCCATTAACCCGAGCACAACAGCTTGATGAATTAATGCTTATATAGGCACAGTTGGCAGCTTCTAATTAAATAATTATGGCTAAGCAGCTGCACGGAAGCTGTTATGCACCCTAGAAAGCCAGCTGTCAGTTTTATTGGTCCTAAGACAGAGGAAGAGTTAACATTTAGCTCTGGCTGTTGGGTACAGAGGGGAAGTATATCATTTGCAAGATGTATGCTGCTAGTATGAAGTTCCTGTGCATTTGTGCTAGCCTGTCCATGGAGAGATGGAGAACAAACTGTTCCACAGCAATCTCTCAGCAATTCAGCAAAGAAGGAAGCAAAGACACAGACAGGAGAATGGAGCCTGTTCAGAGCAATCTAAAGAGAAATAGTGTTGGACAGCCTTTGATGAACACAGAAATGCCACTGGTAGACAAATAAATATCAGTGTGTGGGTATCATTTATGTAAGCAAGTGGCTATAAATCCAATGTCATCTTTTTGGAGAGTATAACCAGTATGTTTTCATTTATTTGGGTGAAGCTTCTTATGATGCTATGTTTTCAAATATTCAAAATTGGAGTGCATGGTAAATACTACAAAGCTGCATTGAAACTATCTCTAAAATGTACTTCTCCAAAAAGTTTGGAGAAGATATTTGTTCTTCAGAATAACAGATAATGTCATATTCCTCTATAGAAATCTAAAAAGCTCTAATCTTATCTCTACGCTAGTGGGAAATTTACCAAAAAGAAGAAGACAGTGTCTGGACACTAAGCTCTGGCATAAAGGAAGATACAGATTGTAGATAAAGGCCACAGATAGGGTTAATGAACCAAATGATATTTGTTATTGCACGTCAATATACTCCTGAGCTGATCACTGATTTCATTTTTCTCCACAGGTTGTTCTGGTTATGCAATACATGTGTTCCTAACTTCTCAAAACCAAATGTGTGATAGCTTAGTAGAGAATGACTTGGCCTCCCATTAGCCTCTTCACCAAGGTTCCCAGCATCATTGCCAAGTGAATAAACATAACTAAGAGAAAAAAGCAGTCCAAGAAATTCAGTCCTACTTTTATGTTTAAAGAAATTTAGACATTTTAATCCCGAATTCTGGATTCATGTTAGAATACAAATAGAGGAAATCAAATTTTAACACTGGAAATATATTTCTTGTGGAATTTACTTCACCCAACTCCCGGGCCTGTTGAAAACTGGCAGTTAAAATCAAGTACCAAAGAGTGCAGGCTGATTTACTCCTTTCCTTTCAGAGATCAATGGCTCACAGTTTATAGTTTAGAATAATGTTATATCACAAAACAAGGAATCTGCAGGGTATCTTCATTTAAGCACATGAACTAACCTCTAATAACCCCTTATTTAAAATGCTTCAGTATCAATGTTTCATTTCCTCCCCCTCTGGTTTCCTTTTATGTCAGTAATTCTGTCACCTAAGCTATCTAAAGGTGTTTGTATGTGATTGACAATTCTCAAGGATCTTGTTCCTTTCAGATAGATCTTAAATGAAGTTCAGCTTAATTAAGTCTGCAGTACAACTCAAGTCTCAGTACAAAAAGCTACAGAATCAAACAGTAGATTTGTAAAACCCTTAAAAGCAAATTTTAAAACTGGGGGGAGCAGGGGGCGTTTCAGCAGTCTGCACTGCCATCTAGCCAAGACCACATTATTCATTGCAACATCCATTTGTGTTTTCAAAGCCCCTGATGAAAGCAAATCTTCAGCAACCAGCTTAACAGACCTCAAAGTCCAGCTAAATGAATAGACAGCAGTAATTCATCCACTGAGTATACTAAGCTCCTGTGGCCTGTTTAGCCAAAATGTAATCATCAACCTTATTTTCACAATTCAACATCTAGCAAAAAAAAAAAAAAAGATATATGTGTTTGTTTCCATTTTACATATTGCATATACCAACATCATTTTTATCTTGTGATTTTGGAGGCCTTTGAATATTCTGTGATCTCATTGGATAAAAGTTGCCTTAGGTTAGAGATGAGAGCTGAATTATAGCCTTCTGACTCTCTAGCTATAACTCAAGACTTAAAAGAATTCCAAACCATGTTCCTTAGGTATAGACAGAACACGCAGACCATATACATTTGTGAAGAGAATTGACACACATTAAAAATTAAAAGAACCCTTTGTACTTACGGTAGAAGACATATTCAGTGTAGCTTGACCAGATCTTGTCATCTGTATATTGGTTGATGAAAGATGCTGTCACCGATGAGTTACAGGCCACCATGTGGAATCCACACTCTGACAACATATCAAAAGCCCTTTCCAGGTGCTTGAATTTGAGATAAAATCTGGAGGTGTATCTTTCTGGGGCTCGGTCAGGGTCTCTGCTTTCATTCAAAGTTTCTCCAAAGACTTCTTTTGCCAAGGAAATCCTTCCACAAACCAAAATCCGGGGAACTCTCCGAAACTTGGCATCTGCCTGTCCCTCTCTGCCCAAGGTGCAGGATCCTCTGTAACCCACAGTAATGAAACCCCACTTGCGGTCGGCAGGGAGCAGGGAGGAAGGGGGGCAGATTCTTGTGTCGCTTCCTTGGGAGGCATCTTCAAAGTCACTGTGGCAGAATTCATCTGGACTTTGCTTGATGTCATCAGGGGTTAGGAGTTTGACCAGGTCTGGGAGCTGGAAGTATTCAGCTTCCCTTTTCAGTCTTCCTTTTTCTGGAAAGTGATCAGGCAGGACCACCTGCCTGTCCCTGAGATAGTCCAGAATATAACGGAACAAGAATCCATCTCTGTCAATGAAAAACCTTCCCTTGGAGTCCTTGGCTAGATCGTTAGCCGTGTCTCTCTTTGGGGAAAACATTTTCCACAGGAGGGTATGAGGGATGCTTATCAATGTGGAATGGCGAGTAAAATAAACTTGACCCCCGACATTCAGCTCTACCACCTCAGGGAAGGAATTGGGAACTGCGACCCCTTGTTCTCGAGGATAATAACGACTACAGTTTCCACTCAGAGCCATTGTCCCTTTCTTCTGCTGCTGCTATTTTGATTTAAAGGTGCAATCCAATGGAGTCACAGCCTTATCCTTTGTATCAACTTGCAAGAAAGGGAAAAAGATGCTAACCTATTAAAAATGACCTCCTCTTATCCCAGTTTTTTCTCCCCCAAGAAAGCAAAATATATCAGAGTCCACAGGTGAAGTGATGCTGAAAAAGTAGTTTAAACCCTGGATGGTAGTGAGCTATTACTTCATAGAATATAATCAACTCATCTATATCCAATCTTCCATGAAGCTCACAGGCAAGGCGGGCCAAGTCCCCAGTTACTCAGATGTCCGTCTGAAGGAAAAGAGAAAAAAATATTTCCTCAAACCCAGAATGAGTCAGAAAAAGAGAGTCCTCTGGAGAGAGAGAGGGAGGGAGGGAAAAATAGAGGGAGGGAGAGAGAGATTATTTTACATAAGCAGCCCTGGAAGTACTGATCTCAGCCATTCTTCAATTAAATCACAGCTTCTCTTATGCTATTTTGTGTCTACATGTTTATCCATAAGCCTATGTCTCCAGCAATTAGTATGAAAAACAATTCTACTCGTAAGACTACATTAAAAAGAAACATGCAATTTTCAACTTCTAAAAGGGCATTTTTTTTCAGCTGGAGAGGAAAAGCAATAAGTCTTCGAGCTTACCTTAGTGAGTGCTGGAGACCCAGTTCTTGTGAAAAAAACAATAATAGGAAGAACCATTTGTAAAGCAATCAGAATCCACAGCCAAACTGAGTCTGGATCTTGTCAAATCCCAAACAGGTAAACGACCGAGGTATCAATGAAAAGTGCCAGGCAGGTGTGCTCTTGGAAAATAATTGTTATATATGTGTATTTATATAAATGTATATTTGTGTTTATATATGTATGTAGGTACGTGTGTATTCACTCCGTATCTTAAGTTAAAACAAGTCACAAAAAAGTTAAACGGTGATGAGAGAAGGTTGGGTTGAAGAAGTAAAGCAGAGAAAATACTCAACGAAAGCTTCCCCAGGGAAAAAAAAGAAGGAAAAAAAAAATCTTTGGAAAGGATCCTTAAAAGAGAGTTGCAAGAGGTACCAGGACTTAGAAGCTTTTCAGAAAGCCCAGAAGCAGAAAGATGGAAAGACGAGCCCTGCTGGGGTCCCAGGTTGCCACCCCACCTGCCGGCAAGGGCAAACGGACTCCCATGTTCCCAGCCAGGTGGGAGCCGGTGGGAGCCCAAGGCCAAGGCAGCGCAGAGATGCCAGCGGGGGGCCCGGGGCTCCGGCTTCTCTGGCGGCGGAGCTGGGTGGTTCCACAGTTCCCAGTGCAGTTCGGATGCTGTTGTTTCAGCAGTGCAGGCAAGAAACCATCCAGGGAAATGACTATTACATCATCTTAAAGGAATATGGCTTGGAGAAAGCGGAGGCAGCTCCGAGTCACGTCCTCCTCGGTGACAGGTTGCCAGGACTGCACGGGGACGCCGCGCTCCAGCGGTGGGCATGCGATTGCCAGGCGCGCGGGGCTTGGGGCGGGGACGCAGCGCTGCGCAGCCACTTCCCTCCCTGTCCTGTCCTGGATGGAGTCTGGAGTTTCCAAGGGCCTTTTCCTTCTTTCTTGTCTTTACCTCCACCACCACCATCCCACAGCAAATCCCTGCCCCCTACCCAAGAAGTGAGGTAAACACAAGTGACTTTTTGTTTGAAAAATCTGCAAACCTTCTCCCCCCTCCCCCGCCCCGTTCACGGAATTCCAGCTGAAGGGCAAATTTCCCTACAAAGCTTGTTTAAAAACACACACACACGCACACAAAATGACCCCAATGTTCAAACTACAAAGTGGTTTTTAAAAAAAAAAAAAAATCCTTTGATTTAAACCATATTCACTCAAATTCCCTCTTTTTTCTTTTCTCTTTCATCCCCCTGCCACCACAACCCCTAGAAAATAAATAAATACTAATATATACGTAAATAGGTAGCTAGATAAACACTCTCTGGAATTAATGATGCTCTTTCAAAATGAAGACATGAAGCCCTGGCACCCACAGAAAGCCCACCGTTTACATCCATAAGTCATTATCTTAGCTTACCTGTAAGAAATTGATACCTGCAATATTTGTCTGTGGTTGTTTCCTTACTGAGCATCTCTTTGGACACGCCCCCAGCCCCTCCCAAGTCATCCCAGGAGGACTCTGGTGGAAGGCACTCCTGCTAAAAGACATTTTACTCCTGTTCCAGAGGGCTCCCTTAAGTGCATCATTAGAGTTTCAGGAAGGCATTTCCAGGGCAACCTAATCTACTAACAAAGTGCTTCCAGTTGAGCCTGCCAGTCAATAATGGCCCAGCCAACAGCTTACAGTAAGTCGGCCATTTCCCCTTTAAAACACCAGTGTCTTAGGGCTCGCATTCCTGATAAGAATATAGTGCTTGGTCAATGAATAATATATGTAGGCACACGCCATCCTAAACAATTGCTATTTTAAAAAGTGAAAACCAAAAATGGATGTGAACTTAGGAATTATGCACATTTTATGAGAAACGTGTTTATTGCCAACTCTTACCCAGAGAATTAGCTTGAATACGCTCAACAGTAGGATAAAGTAGTTTCTAGTTTAACAGTCCTTTCTTTCAATAAGTATTGGGTTACTGAACATATCCAGAGTATTAGCTAACATACCTACACCTGATTATATTTGACTTTGTTTCTTTAACTAATGCATTAACCTGTTCTGGCCTCAATCATTAGGATTTTAATGCTGGACCAATCAAGATGTTTGTTATGTGATGCACTTATATCGCCATCTAGTGTCCTAAACTATCCGTGCAGCTTTGTATCTGGTAACGCAACTGGGCCAAAACATTTAGATTTTCTGTTAAGTTTTTATTGTGATTACTTGGCATACATTGCTCACCACTGACAACAAAATGAATATTTCATTGCCACCAGGTCAAAGACAAAATAAACCTATATTTAGACCTATTAAATACTGGTTTTGGTTGTAGTTAAAGTAAGCAAATGTTTTGTTTTCTTTTAATTCTAAGAGAGTAGGCCAAAACGCCATGACAATAGCTTTGGAGCTCAGGTATTAAAACATGGCAGAGACATATGGCAGTAGGTGGAGAAACAGACTAAAAACAATCATAATCTCTTAAAGCTAAAAAGGACTCAAGGACATAAAAACCTTAGAAGAAAATCTAGGCAAAACCATTCAGGACATAGGTGTAGGCAAGGACTTCATGACCAAAATGCCAAAAGCAATGGCAACAAAAGCCAAAATAGACAAAATGGGACCTAATCAAACTCCACAGCTTCTGCACGGCAAAAGAAACAGTCAGTAGAGTGAATCGGCAACCAACAGAATGGGAAAAAATTTTTGTAGCCTACCCATCTGACAAGGGGCTGATATCCAGAATTTACAAAGAACTAAAGCAGATCTACAAGAAAAAAACAAACAAGCCTATTCAAAAATGGGCGAAGGATATGAAGAGATACTTTACAAAAGAAGACATACAGGAGGCCAACAAACATATGAAAAAATGCTCATCATCACTGGTCATCAGAGAAATGCAAATCAAAACCACATTGAGATACCATCTCACACCAATTAGAATGGCGATCATTAAAAAATCGGGAAACAACAGATGCTGGAGAGGATGTGGAGAAATAGGAACACTTTTACACTGTTGGTGGGAATGTAAATTAATTCAACCATTGTGGAAGACAGTGTGGCGATTCCTCAAGGACCTAATAATAGAAATCCCATTTGACCCAGCAATCCCATTACTGGGTATATATCCAAAGGATTATAAATCATTCTACTACAAGGACACGTGCACACGAATGTTCATTGCAGCACTGTTTACAATAGCAAAGACCTGGAACCAACCCAAATGCCCAACGATGATAGACTGGATAGGGAAAATGTGCTACATATACACCATGGAATATTATGCAGCCATCAAAAACGATGAGTTCACGTCCTTTGTAGGGACATGGATGAACCTGGAAACCATCATTCTCAGCAAACTGACACAAGAGCAGAAAATCAAACACCGTATATTCTCACTCATAGGTGGGTGTTGAACAATGAGAACACATGGACACAGGGAGGGGAGCACTACACACTGGGGTCCGTTGGGGGGAAATGGGGGAGGGGGGGGGGGGAGGGTGGGGGGTGGGGAGGTGGGAAGAGATAGCATGGGGAGAAATGACAGATACAGGTGAGGGGACGGAAGGCAGCAAACCACACTGCCAAGTGTGTACCTATGCAACAATCTTGCATGTTCATCACATGTACCCCAAAACCTAAAATGCAATTAAAAAAAAAAAAAAGGACTCAAGGAATAAAAATTATCTCATCATAGAGATGCAGGACTGAGGAACAGAGAGGGTCAGCACTTTCTTAGGGTCACACAGTTACAGAGTAGCACGATGGATTTTAGACCACTGACTCTTCAGGATAACCTCTGTCCTCATTTTAATCTTAGATATTCTTGAATAGGAATAGAGAGGTGGCAAATTTAAAAAACAATATTTTTTTTTGAAACAACAAATTTGAAGACATTTTCTCGAAATGTGAAACAACAAATTTCAAGATTATCAAACATGTTTTTAAAAACAAGCCATTTAAAAAATATTAGCATTAATTTAAATTGCAAGGTTAAAAGACTTTGTAACGTAAAAGAAGAATATTTTGAATTTTTAAAATGAGGAGTTCTTTTCATTGGTCTGGGTTTTATAGGTTAGGTTACTTTTGAGACAAATAGGTTCTTAACCTTTTTTGGAAAATGGACTGCTTAGAGAACCTAATAAAACCTAGGAAATGAACCCAGGAGCATAAAATTTGCATTCACTGTCAGTGCAGAACTTCTCAGGAAAGGCCGAGTAAAAAGAGGAACCAGGGTGGGGCCGTGTAGTTGATGATTCGCATTCACAGAATTCCTCAAATTTTGACTATGAAACTTCTTTTTGAAGTGAGATCTTACATACATTCACAGAGACACACTCTGAGAACTGAAAAATGGAGACCATTCACCAGACAACCTTAGTCTTGCAACCCATGATTTGACCATACTACCTGAAACACATTTTGAATGGGTATTTTTCATAAACACCGTAAATACCCTGTTTTGCACAACTGCATTGTATCATACTGTTATGTGCTAAAAGAGTTTATTATAGTAAGCAGTTAAAAATAAGCACTTGCTTTGCTAATTTTATTTAGGCATATCTACTTTTTAACCTACATGGAACCTCAGAAAAGCAAGACAGTGTAGGCCTCCCTCACCTTCTGAGAGATCGGGCGTTTGGTTCAAGATTGGCCTGAAGCCCATTCATGTTGGGGTTCACAGATGTCAGGTTAACATCACCAGATCTGTACTCCTTCTTGTTCCTTTAGTCTCAGGGATGAAAACGAATGAGCGGTAAGATTAAAAAGATAAAAGCCTTGAAGGAAACAAAGCAACACACCACACAAAGAGATTTAAATACTGCTAGAGTAAGCGCCTGTGTCTCAGGAAGTTGTCAGTAAGCCCCGCTGTTTGGTGCCTTAACGAGGCAAGAAGCCAAGCCTAGGCTGTGAGTGTACTCGTAGCCTTCGTGTCAGCAAATAACACCGCTAGTGTTATTATTCTCTCCTGGCAGCTCTCCGCTGAAACACTGTGGGATGGAACTCCTGGCCTGAAGGCTGAACAGCATACAGCAACAGATTTCTCTTAGGGGAAGAGCAAGGAAGAATGTTCCATCCTGTTCTTTGTAATATTCAAGCATAGAGACGTTTGTTAGGTAAATTGTGAAATTGATAAAATATGTTTTTGCCTCTGTTTCCTGCTTTCACTTACATAGCTAAATATTGAAGGTTATATTCTCAAAAGGACTATTTTAATTTTGAAATAATGTGATCACTCTCTACATTCTCACCCTTAACACATCCTTAAGTTGTCTCTGCCCTCAAGCAGAGAGAGCTTTCAGTACGACAGCCTTCACTATCAGGAAGGAAACAGATCTTGTAAACTTACTTATGCTAAGACGCTGCACACTCATTGTGTTAGATGCTTCTGAGGACTCCTGCATTATCACCATTATGTTAATAGCTTCTGTTTATAGAGGGAAGACCATCAAGTCCTCACCACAGTCACTACCCCTCTTCCAGTCTGCCTGGCTGACTGTGTGACTTTGAACAGGAGACTCATGTCTCTGAGCCAGGGTATGGTTATACTAAGAAGACCTGCCTCCCAGGTATGTTGCACAGACTAAATATGAAGATACATGTAAGCCGTCTGGTACATTCCATGGCTCTTAGCAAGTGCTTAATAAATGCCATTAGTATTCATGATAGTGGTTAAAAATATCTGCATTCATTGTTGTTAAACTCCAGTTGAGGCACAAAGAAAAGAAAAAAGATGCCCAAACATAGAAATAGAATTCTACATCCAAAATTGTTACTCTTCCAGTA